TTATTTATTATTATTTTCATTTATTATCTTGGACTGATTCCAATTTGACCATTTTTCGATGACTAATTCGATCTTTTCGATAAACGGGTTTTGATTTTTAAATTAAATTTCTTTGTGAAAACAATAGTGACTATAGTTTTTATCTGATTTACAGGAAATTTGTTGTGATTATTCATATTGATAATATCTTGGACTGATTGGAATTCGACGGTTTTTGAGCTATTGTCCTTGACTTTGAAATAAAAACGGTTTTCACCTGATATTAATGTAATTTGGTGTGATCATTTTTATTGATGAGATCTTGGTATAAGTTATTTACAGTAAATATATAAATATGAATAAATTCAAACTACAAATGCATTATGAGGATCTGTAAAATGAGAAAATTCATATTTAGTTATGAAAGACTTGATTATTTTTTCTGACAGCTGCCTGTGGGCGTATGTTATTTTGCCTGGTAAGCTATCTTTTTCTTACCATAGTGGTGGATTTTGACTTTATGTATGTCAAGAATCATTCGCGTTTGCAAGTGAATATGACACTTGTCCTTTCCTGAGACTCAGCCATTTTTATTAACAGATATATATATAAAAACTAGAAATAGAAACTGAAATGCCTAGTTTGGAAATTTTTGAATGAATTATGTGATTTTCGTGCAGATGTGGAACCATGGCCTGTAATTTTGACCATGCACAACACTACCTCAAGAATACCATCTGTCCTCATTCTGTAAATCTTCAAGCTTCTCTTTGATGAGATAAGTTATTTAGCATCAGTTTTCAATTGATCAGCCCGGCTGTCCGTACTATTGCTGCGATGTACCTCCTTGCTTCATGTCGTATATGACCACTGTGTAGGTTCACAGAATTTCCTTCATATTAAATATAACATATTTAAAGATTAAAGATATAGTCTGCCACTAAAGTGGTATTTACTAAAACTCCCTTCAAAAATTTCACGGGCGTCATGTGTTTCTTCTATCATCCGAGGTGTTTTGTCCTGCAACCCGGTTTAAAGGGACTTTCCGCTTTTTTGTAGGTCGAATGTTTTTTACTCAAATATGTGAAAATTCTATACAACAAAATCTAGAGAGTTGGTCAAAAATATTCGAAAACATTACGTAAGGTTTTTCAGTTCGTTATGCTTTTTGGAAGCTGTTAGTTCACTACTGTACGAAGTTCAGTAAAATAAACACCGAATTGTAGAGAAATAATTATGTCTCCTACGTATTCTAAAGGTTTCAACTAGAAATAAATCCGAACATCAAAACTAGGTCAATTGCTTAAGTAACAATTAGCTCACTCCGTTTTCAATTAACCCTTTAAAAACAAATTCAGTTTGATCAAGAAGATACATAGATATAATAGCATACAAAAAAGCAGAACGCTCCTTTAAACTTGGTTTTACACATGTGACATGTCATATTATCATAATTTTACACTAGTATTTTTTTATCATCACAATAATATGTGGAGTTACCACCAGATGATTCTATAATTTTACACTAGTTTTTGTTTTCCCTCCAGTTTTGAGCAGCGATGGCGGATGTGGCTCCAGGTAGGGTATGCATACCCTGTAAACACCTTATACTACAGTGTTGAAACCTATTTTCGAACACCGAATTTCGTCATTTTCGGATTTTTTTTTATGTCTTAGATGTTTCTAACGACTTCATTCGTTGGACTATATTCTAGCAGACTACACTTGAAATTCCGATTACAGCTGAAGATTATAAGGAAATTCGACCGATAAAAAATGGCGACGTTTGGTAATAAATGAAATCCGCCATTTTGCATTTGTCAAAGTATACATTAAAACATTTTACCTTGCTTGAAACTACTGGATTCATTCTACTACTGACATTGTTGAAATAACCCATGTTTATCAAAACAAGCAAATGTTGAGGTCAAGCGAGGTCGCACATGGATATTATTAATCCTTTCCGGAAATGTACGAAAAATAGGTTCGCAAGAAATTAGGTTACTTTCAATATGAAATACATTATGTCTGTCTTGTTATGCCTTATCTATTAAATCTGCCATGAATTAAGCATGCCTTGAATAAACTGTATGTCGTAATACGGAATACCGTTACTATGTATATATGCAATGAAAATAACATCCTATAAAAACTGAACATGTATGAAGAAAGGTCATGCACAATAATACAAACTGGTTTCTAAATGTGATACAAAAATTTCAGAGGATGGGATACTCTACTTGGGTCTGTGGCTTTTGGTAGCTTTTAAGGAGGAATAATTCGATTGTGGAATATTCCTAATGTATTTATCACTTACCTTAGGGAGTAATAGATGTCAGCTCTTACTGTATATATATTACTTGTTGTTCTGTTTTCTATCATTATTATTTTGTGCTTGATAAAGATTCCTGTATGTGAATTGAAATTAAAGAAAGAGAGTAGTATGTTAGTAATTGTGTTCTTATTTATTTAATTGAAAGGTTATTTCTAGTTTTTACTGCAAGCAAATTCACGACTTGTCCCATATTCGTCCGGCAAGAAATTTATAATTGCATCGATTTCATAATAACGTAATCCATAAATTACATATTAATCGGATGAGATACACTAATACACCATTTATTTTCATTGCGATCAGACGACTAAAGTTAAGGCAGCTTAACTATCAAACGTTCCTCGAACCTGTTTTTACGTCGTCTGAACGCGACCGGTTAAACTAAATCTTCCTGAACTTGAAGAGGCTTAGAACCTGGCTCGAAAGTTTAACCCAGCCTAGTTTGGCCGTCTGAACGCAACTGGCTAAAATTAAGCCGGACATGTCATTTCTGCGCGTCACTAACCAGGTTCGAAGAACGGTTGTCAGTTAAGCTGACTTAGTTAAATCGTCTGAACGCACTATTTGTCTTGGGTTGTCTAATATATTTTACAAAACATCCCAAAATATTGTTAAAATACAATCACAGTCATTGTCTAATGCACACAGGGTAACATAATAGAGGAATTCCAAAACACTGGTAGGATGTGATATCATCTTAAAAATTTGAAATATTGTATTGAACCATCTATGTTAGATATCGCCAATAAGAGGATATTAAAGAGTGGAAACCACATCGATTTGGTATAAATATTGAAGAAATATTTAACAGATTTTGGATTTGTAATGTATCAGTGGAAAGAGTGCCACCCATGCATTAAGCATCTCAATAAAACAATTCCCTTTAACTATTAGAAAATTGAAAAGAAATTGGTTTTATTTAACACAAAGTTTTTATAGTTATACATCTTGTATAAGAACATACTAAAGACAACCCAAATCGTGTCCCATATGTAACGCATAATTGTATGATTGATATACTTCAAGTAGTACTAGAGCTTTCAATTTGGTCGCATAAGGGGAATCCCCATTCCATTTCATTTCATGGGGAAAATGCGACCAAAATGAAAGCTCCCATAAAGACCTAAACATCCTACATTTCATAAATTCTTACACTAAAAAGACCTAAACATCCTACATTTCATAAATTCTTACACTAAAAAGACCTAAACATCCTACATTTCATAAAATCTTACAGCAAAAGACCTAAATTCCCTACATTTCATAAATTCTTACACTTAAAGACCTAAACCCCCTATAGATACTTACACCCTAATCACCCTTCATTTCATACACCAAAAAACACCTTCAATCAATTTCCTACATTCCATCAAAAAAGCATATTAAAATAACTCTTTTTTTTGAAATTTTCTACTCAAATTTTAAACCTTAAAAATGGCAAATAAAATACTAGATCCAATCTTTAGATTATACGATCCAATTCGTTATTCATTTAACAAGAAAAAAGAGGATTATATTATCATCTCACCCACTGTTGGTTCTAAATCCCAATTGAATGATGGTGGTAGAATTACCTTCGAAATAAATTCATTATCGAATTGGTTGCTTCTTTCAGATGCTTATTTCAGATGCGATTTCAAAATTAAAGATGGAACTCCCAATGAAAATCGTGTTCCACAAATTAATACAACGTTAGAAAACAATTTCTTTCCATCTTTATTTAGAGAGATGGTTTTGGAAGCTGGTTCAAATCCGATAGAAACAATCAAACATCCTGGGGAATTCGAATTCGAGTGAGAGTTGTTGCTCGAAACACGATAGAAAGAGTAGGACGAGCAGTTAATCATGCATTCGAAAAACGAGTACTTCAGTATAATAATGTTGAGAATAATAGGTGGGGTAATTACGTAAATTGGAAATTATATCCTTTATTCGGTCTGTTGGAACATAGAAAAGTTTCCATAGGCTTACCATATAAAATTCATCTACAAAGAGAAATAAACGACGATAAGATATTCTTTGGAGAGAATGGTTCAGATGCAAAATTAGAAATAACGAATCTCCAACTTTTCATACCCGTAATAACACCATCAATTGAAGTAGAAACGAAAATATTCAACTCGTTAACTAAAGATATTGAAATAGCTTTTCTTCATCGTAACACTGTAGGTAGCATGACTTTAACTGGAGAATCCACTACATGGCCAATCACTAACACTATTAAACCAGCAAGATATTTAATGTTTGGTTTCAAGAACTTACCAGATTCTCAAACGAATAACAATAATGTCTTCAGAGTGGCAATGAACCAAACTCAAAATCCTTTAATCCATAAAGTTCAAGTAAGATTAAACAACGATAATTATCCTAACCAACCTTTAACAATTAATCCAACCACAAAGGATTATAATGAATTGTATAGAAACTATAAAAATATGTGTGAATTATATGGAAATCTACCTCAGTTTGAATATGTAGATTTTGCACTTAATCATCCAATCTTCTGTTTTGATCTATCAGCTCACCAAGAAGACCTTTTCAAAACAGGAGTAAACATAAATATTCATATTGAAAAAACACAAGGAGATGTAACAGGTTATTGTTTATTATTGGAAGAAGCAAAACATTTAATTAAAATAGCAGATAGAAGAATGATAAGAATTGAGTAAAAAATACACCTTTAAAAATGAAACCAGAAACTTTACTCAAGAAAATAATAGAAGCTATAGAAACAGCTTCACCAACTACAATAACTTTTAATGGTAAAAAAATCAGCATAACTAAAAAACTTATTGATAAATATAAATATTGTAAAGTCAGAGACGATATAGACTTAGAAAGAATTGACGCGAACGCAAAAGAAGGTGGATTTATATTTTCCCTACCTTTAATATTTAGTGGACTTATTGCAGCCGGTACAATAGCTGGTGCTACAGCTGGTGGAGTAAGCGTTGCCAACGAAAAAATGAAATGAAATGAATGGAGTTTTACGTCCTACTCTTCTGCACCTTGTGGGCTAATGAAGACGGGCAACGCCATGCAGGGTGCCATGAGGGAAATTTTGCCAGGACAGCATTAGCCTGCTCTTTTTCGATTTCCAACTGTCGAGGGATCTTTAACGTGCACAGCCTGTAGCACACGGGGCCTCGGTTTATTGTCCCATCCGAACAACTAGACGCTTTTTCCATGTCAGCCCCTCTTTGCCAACGAAAAGAAAGCAGCTGCAGTTAAAGCAGCCGAAGAACATAGACATAATTTAAAAATGGAAAAGCTGGCCAAAGGTTCAGGAGTGGGAGAAATGATAGGCACAATGAAAGAATTTGGAAAAAGATTTAGTGAGGAACCAAGAAAACTGTTAAACAAGGATTAAATAAATTAGTACATAGTATTGACACAGGAGAAATCAAAGTCAAACATAAGGGTAATGGAATATTTTTAAAAAATATACGCACCGGAGAAGGAATATATCTTTCGAAGTATAAAGGAGAAGGAGTTATTTTTGGAACAAATTAAAATAATAAAAAATGGATGAAAAATTTAATCATTCACAAATATTTCCTAATAACCCAATGCTCATGTGTATATGCGGTAGTTCCGGTTCTGGGAAAACTCACTTTTAACATGTTGACAACACCAAACCTTTTAGATTTCGATTCTTTGCATATCTACACAACAACACCAGAGCAATCGTATTATCAATTTCTCAAAGCTTTAGAATATCTAACAAAGAGAGATGTTCAAGACCTATTTCTATATTACAAAGAAAACGAAGAAAAACTGGAATTGAAAGATTTCATAGATAACTACATCGAAGGAAAGAAACCAACGGATATAAAAGTTTTGCGTGGCGCAAAGTAATCAAGCCGTTCAACAAGAATTCTTCACGAAAGGAAGACATCACAACTGTCACTGCATATACCAATCCCAATCTTTTTACGGGATGGACTCTATGTTCATTAGAAAAAATGCAAATTGTTTTTTATTATTTGAATTAAACGACAAAAATTTATCTCAAATCGTTCAATCGATAAATCACAGAATGGATAGAGATACATTTAAAAAGGTTTGTAAAGCTCAATGGAGAAACCCAGATGATCATGGATATGTATTTGTAAATACTAGAAAACCTGCGGGTGAAAGAGTTATAATCGACATTTCATTTCTTTAAAAATGAGTAGCGATTGGAATAATATTTTAAAAAGAAATAAAGAATATATCAAAGCTAAGAATAAAATAAAAACCCAAGTTGAAAATAACAGATTACAACAACTCAGATTAACGGAAAATCTACAAACTCTATTTCAACCCATATTAAAATCTCAAGAGGATATTAAAAGGAAATTAGAATATAAACCTTCTATAGAACCCTTAGCTCCTATAGAACAGCCCAAAGCGATTGAATATAGTGGTGTTATAATTATGACATTAAGTGATATAAAACGTCTTTTTTCAAACCCTGACCCAGATTTACCAAAGAGTATTTCACCAATCGTTGATGATGATGGTTTGTTGTTTAATGGTTTTAGAATAAGATTTAGTGGAAATTCACCACAATTCAAAATCGACACAAAAGACTTTATATTTACATTAACGAGAGGGTTAATAGATTTAATGAATGGCGAGGATGTTGAAATCGCCGATTACAAGGATTTACTAGCATACTCAAAATTTCTACATGCAATAAGAAAGTCGGGACCCGAAACAAGAAGATTAAAAACAGTTGAAACATATTTAAATATGAAACATATTTAAATAAAGTTATTCCTGATGAAGAGGAATCAGATGATTATGCAGAAGATTATTCACCAATCATACAAGAAATAGACGAATTCGAAGATATGGTATCTGGAGGAGGTATAACGTTTTTATCCGACAACAACGAGGAACTACTTAATAGATTACGAGTAATATTAGCGGCCATGAAGGAAGGACATCGATCGCACAGACAATATAATGAAGTAAATTGTATATTAAAAAGACTCCTAGAGAAAGTTATCATAGATAAAAATGATTATAAAAGCGTAATAAAAAATGTCAAATAAAGAACAACTATTCGTCATCACCTCGAATAAATCAGACATCAAATTGTCTCTAGACTATGAGTACGAACTCGATCGCAATCAAGAATATGAATTGGGATTAAAGTATTTCTCTGTTTACAATTCCATTAGAAATATCAACGAAAAAAATAACCAAATAAAAATATTAACAGATAATGGAGTTACGTTCAAAACCATACGTTTACTACCAGGAAGCTATGAATACATAGCCATTAACGAATACTTATCTGAATACGCAGGAAGCGTCAATGGTAAAAACAATATTGAATTCGAAGGTAATTTGAATCTAAACAAAATAAAATTGATATTAAGAAATAATTGTCAAGTTGATTTCAACGTAGAAAATTCATTGAATGCTTTACTAGGATTTGATAAAAAAATATACACCCAATCCACTTTAGCACCACACAAAGCTAATATCGAGAATGATATCGATGTGATAAATATACATTGCAATTTGATTATTTACAGTCTTCCAACATTCACTGTACCGATAGGATATAGAATTATAGAGAAACCATTCAAACGACGTATTTACCACTTAATTCCTTTATGATTAAAGATATAAATCTGGAAATCAAAGATGGTAAAAATAGGTTTATAGATTTTGGTAACGAGGAAATTGTTATTCAACTTCATTTAAAACAAAAAAATTAACACTCTTCATTCTCTTCTTGAATAGTTAGATAATCGAAATCATCAAATTCATAGTTTTCATTTATGTTTAATTCTTTTCCGTCGTTGTAAGGATACATAATTCCTTCTTCATTCGGTGCTTTTCTCTTAACGAGATTCAGATAACTTCTGAAAACTTTCTTTTGTTTTTCATTAGGAATAACTATTCCATCAGTAAAACTTTTCACCCAAGGTTTCTTATATTCATTCGTTACGTCATGTCCACTAGCTAATCGAATATAATCTTCGACGCCTATCTTATCTTTAGAGTAACCCTTAAACGTTTTCTTTTCTTTTAAAACACCATCGGAAGTTAGAATGATATTGTATTTTACTTTTGGCGCTAAATATAAACCAAATATGATTCCACCATCACCGTAATCATTCTTCCCTTTGCTATATTCGTTTTCAGACACCAACCCAGCTTCATTTAATTTATCCCAATTGCTAGACGAAATGTAAAAACTATCAGTATCTGTATAGTATATTTCAGGCTTATAAAATCCATCTATTACGTGAATGAAATTGTTCATTATTTTTTTACTGTGAGATAATATAAATGCACCTAAATGAGCGGGTGTTAATCTAGTAAAATCCTTTGGAGGAACAAACTCTTTTTCTTCTTCATTCATCTCAACTATATATTGACTATCATTTACTTTTTCATAGCTTTTGACGTGTGAATCGAAGTTGGCTTTAAAAGTCGATTCACTCCATAGATGTCTCGATGTATTTATATCCTTCTGAATAGATTTACCGTATAAGGAATTACCTAATAATTTCATGCAATTACTAGCAACCATATCTCCTTCTTTTTTGTATTTATTCCTTAATTCCTTCAAAATTAAAATATAATCTCTGTATGGTGGAGTTTTAAAATTTTCTTCGTATACTATACCATCTAATATTCTAATAATTTTACCACCGGATTTCACTATTTCTTGAATATCAACCGATGTTAAAACGTCGTGACAGAAACCATTTCTGAACCTGATTTTAGTGCCAGTTTCCTTCTTACCTATTCTATTCGTAAAAGTTATTTTATCTTTAGCTGGTATGGGTTGAAAGAACATGTTTTTGGGATATTCAAACCAGACTTTTAAAATAGCAGTTCTAGGTCTGAATTTTTGTTTATTGAAGAGTTTTACAAATTCTTTTTCTTCTTCTGGTAGAAACGCTCTTGCACTTTCCGCTTTAGGATATTCACCTTCTGTCATGGCGGAAGCGTACAACCCATTAGCGTCAAATGCCATCAGTTTAGAATAGTCCAGTTCTTTGAGTTTAGCGCGAACTTCCGTTTTATCTTCTGGGTTAACACTGTATTCTTTGAATAAATCTATTATTCCTTCAGTGTTACTTTCATTGTATTCTTTTAATATGGCGCAGATTTTATCCGTTTCAAATGATTTTCGATTTGCCGAAACTCTTCCTCCTTTAATACTTTGTCTGATAAAATATCTTATAAAAGGATGAGTATGCGAGTAAACTTTTTCTACGTTTTGTTTTTCCGTATGTTTCGGAACTATTCTAGTAGTTTCATACTATTCTTCTTCAACCATTTCTTTATCGTAATGAGATAAATAATACCAACCCTTTAAAGATAAAGAAGGAGCCGTTAGATTATGGGAAACGTTTAGGAGGACAGTTTTTTTCATGGCTTGATTGTATTTTATCAAACAAGCTCCGAGACACAACGTATCTCTTTTAGCGTAAGGTTCCCATTCGGGTCTTAAAGATTCCCAATTATCTTTAGTGTATTTTGCAATATTAACATCCTCGATCTTTCTCAAATTCATTGGTAGATTAGATTAATTTCCCCATGCCGCTAAACTAGATTTTTCATGTTGATAGGAACATGTGAAATTAATATTTTGCAAATAATTAGAGTTACCCTTTATTTCTTTCTGTCTTTTCCATTTTTTCTGTAAATCTTCATCAGTGAATGAATTAGTTAAAGGTAGAGAATGAATTCCTCTAGCTGTTTTTAAAGGGAATTGTGTTTGTTTTTTTACGTTTTTGATCATGATCCAGTTATCAGAACCACTGCCGTTATGGGAAATTAAGGTTAGTCTTTTCTGATCTACTTTTCCTAAACGTTGTAACATTTGATCTATACAATCTGTACCTACAAATATTTCTACTATATTAGTCATGAGTATGTTGTAATATTCTTCTGAAATGGGATCTGACGGCTTAAAATCTAAATTCTCATTAAAATCACTTAAATCACTTAAGTAATTATTATAATCATCTAATCTTTTCCTCAGTTTTTCTAAATTGACTAAAGTACAACAATAAGGAATGGCTTTATTCGTTTCTTTTTCGCAATAGGTTTCGCAATCCCATGCGTATAAACAATAATCGGGAATGGTTGGAAAAACGTTTAGTTTTAGAGGTGAAACTTGCGTTACCGCATTATCATCTTCACAAGTTCTCCATACGTTTTCATCGTAATTATCTTCTATTTCTTTAATGCCCAAAGCTTTGTTATTTCTTCTTATCAAACAGAAATGTTCTTTGTGTAAATAAAAAACCCAATCTAATTCTTCGGTTACTTTCTTTGGTTGAAAATGTCTATGTTTGGGCATATATATTTGAAAATTAGTATTAAATTTCTTATTGAATTCGCAGATTCTAGCAGTTGTCATAACTCCTTTTCTGTTTGATTTTGAAAAAGTGTTGATGAAATCTTGAAATTCTCTCGTGTAGTCTTCGTTTAAAAGATTTTGTTTTAGTCTTTGTTTATTATTATACAATTTATACCGATATATTCTTTTATCTTTTTGAGTAGGCTAACACCACTACCCTTTTTTGATCTTTTTATTTCTTTGAAATTGTTTTTATGGAAACTCATTTTTCCTGTGAAATACCAATCGGAGGCATCCGATTTTTCATCCACTGCAGCAAAGAAATTGACAAAAGTTTTGGTATTAAAACCTACAAATTTCATGTTTTGTTTGTATTTTCCATCTTGAGTTATTTCTCCAACTATTTCAATTTGTCCTTTAAATGTTATAAATTCATTAGAGATAATGTCAATAACATCGGAAAAAAGTTCATTTGATATGAATTTATCAATTTTTTTCATATTTTTGAATTCATCAGAGATAATCTTGTCAATAATATCGTCTAAAATTTTCACTGGTATGAATTTTTTTATCGTCTACAATTTCAACTTTATTCATATTTTTAAAGCAACTATTTTTAACTAGGAATTTTCAACTTTCATTGATGATATTTCTACATCAAATTTATCTAAAATTTCATTGAATTCTTCTAATTCGTCAATGGTTATGTTCTTATCCTCTCTCGATCTTTCTAAAAAAATGAATAATTTATTAAGAAAAGTATTTAAAATTTTTGTTTTCCTTTTATAATGAGCTTTCTGTTTTGATGTAAAACCTAAAGTAATCAAACCACAAGATGAAGTTTGAACGGCAGTGAACGCGGCTAATACAGTTGGGACAATTATTTGAAGCATTAATCCACCGGTTACGGCTGTTGCCACCGTTATCCCTATTGTTAAAACTGTACTTAATGTTTTGAAAACAGAATCGATTCTACTCCATGTTTTTCTGCATATGTTGAATTGTTTTAGTTTTTCTTTTAGTTCATTTTGTTTTTCTATCATGTAGTTTTGTCCACTTTCGAGTTCCATTTTTATGTAATTAAATTAAGTGAACTTCTGATAAAGCTGTTAGGTGTTTATTAAAAAAAACTTTTACAGTTACTAATGTTATTTGTTCTTTCGAATCATTAATCTTATTCAGATAAACTGAAAAATTTGGTTTTTCAATAGAGATTAATACAAAAACAAGTGCATCATCTCTTGTTAAAAGTTTGTTGACTTTTATGAATATCGAATGGGGTAAATATATCATTATCAACAAAATATAGTTTTACGTATTCAAAGTCTGTTGCTCGTAAAAACTCATAATTGTTTCTTACTTTTTTCGGTTCTGGATTTTTAATAATATTCATTGATGGTGAAGTTTCCGTTTCCAATAACATATCAAAATTATTCAATGTAAGATTAACTACTTCATTATCTGGTATAATTAACATTCTAAACCTATCTATATATTTTCCACTCGTTTTAATTTCTAATTCTTTAGTTTCTACATTTTTTTGTACCATTGATAAACTGAAGAACTTTGCGAGCGTTAAATTTATTAAACATATGTAAGTTTTGTCTGAAGAATATTGATTGAACTTTTACCTGTATAGGAAATGTTATTTCAATTGTAAGTTTTTCTTCAAAAAAAAAAATCTGATTGGAGATGTTCGCTCTTAAATATATCATAGGGGCGGATAAAATTTGGAGGAGAAAATACTCTTATATTTAGTTTAAATCCATATTTTTTATATTCATAGTCTTTTGATTTATCAATATTATCAGTAATAGAAGCATCATCATAACTCAAATTTCCAAATGGAAGATTGAAATAATATGATTCTTTCTTGAGAAACTTTTTTTCTAATGCGACTATATTTTTATCCTGTTTCAATACTCGGTTATTAATAGTGGTTATCTGTTGTTGAATAACACTATCATCATTGTTTTGTATTTGTTTTTTAATATTTGTTAGTTCTTTTTGTAATTCAGTTTTAAATTTAGTTAATTCCCGTTGCAATTTGTCTTCACTTATACCTGGATTAATATTATCTATTAGTTGTTTAAGATCTTTTTTTTTGCTTTTTAATCTTATCATCTAAATTAGATATTAATGAACTTAAAGTTTGTAACTGAGTTTTATCTACTACATTGACTAATTCTTTTTGAATAAAACTTTTCAAACTTGTTACTTCTTGTTGTAGTTTAGTATCATCAATAAAATCTTTATTATTCATTTGTCGTTTGAAGAATCTTTTCACATCATTTATTCTTTCTTTTAAATGTTCTTTATTTACTTCAATTAAATTTAATTGTTCCATTAAATATTTCTTGTGAATGGCATCATTATCGTTTTCCGGAGACTTTAAATTAGTTATGCTAAAATTGTTCATATCTAAATCACCTTGAAGAATGTCTCCGATTTGATCCAGGAAGTAAGGTTTTGCTTTATTTATCCACGCTGTTGTGTTAGGTTTTGTAGTTTCTAAAGATAAAGAACCTAATCCAAACTTATTCGCCATTTTTATTGAGTTAAATTTATTACAATTTCTTCGAATTGTTTTCCTAAACTCAACTGATATAAAACCCAAAGTGAAAGCTGACCACAAAACTTTTGTCCCGGTAATTGAATTTGAAATGTTGAACATTTGATTGGTCAATTGGATTATCTCTTCAGTGGGTTCTAATCCATAAGAATCGAAGAAATAAAAGTCAGAGTCTTTGTACAAAGCAGAATGATGAACTCCCTTTTGATCGGAAGTATGTATATTTGTTATAGCGTAAAATTTCAGATCATTTATTTCATCTCTCATAAATAATAAAACGGTGATATATTTAACTCATTCGCCCATCTCATAAGTTGAAAGTTTGTGGTTGTATCGGTTCCATATTTATCGAGAAATTCATTCATTTTTAAAAGTCAGTTTTTTGAAGTTCGTTTTGATAAAACCTACCTATGATTTGTTCTTTGTCTTGATCGATTAATTCATATGTCGGAGGTGATGTAGTGTTTACTTTATCAACGATAAATATTTCGTTCGTTCAGTATCCAACGTAACCTTTTTCGAATTTACTTTTATATTTGAAAATACGAACTCGATCTCCGACTTTAAATTTGGGTTTGATATTTAAATTCTTTATTTCATTTTCGTAGTTATGTTGCGTGTTAATTGACTTTATAATATTTGGATTACTCGAGGCTTGTGTTGGTGTGACACCTATAGATGAATGAATTTTGTTATTGTATTCGTCGACAACAACTGGTAATATTTTAAGCCATTTTTGGGATTTCAATTCCGTGAACTTTTTGAATAATTTATTTTTTAGAGTCCTGTTAAATCCTTCTATTACTACAGCTTTACCTTCGTTGTGCGTACTGTAAATTTCAAATCCCAGAGATTTCATATTTTTGTTATAAAATTCACTTCCTTTATCTACCCATAGTTTTTCTGGATGACGGTTAGATTGTTTCATAATCGTTTCAAATGAGTGTTTGACTGATAATCCCGTTTTGTTTCTCAAAGGAATAACCCATACATATCTCGTATATAAATCTATAACTGTTAAGCAATATTTAAATCCTCTTTCGACTGGCATATGAATAAATCGGCTGACCATATTTCATCTTTTTCAAACACTTTGACTTTTAAAAAGTTTTTAGTTTTTCTAAATTCTTTATAAATTTCATCTGCCAATCCCATACCTAATTTCATCTTTGCTTTCAAGAGTTTAATGATTAATGCTCTTTGAATTCTCTCTTTGAAAGTTGGATTTGGAATATTTTCAAGTTCGATTATCATTTGTTTGTCTGCTTCGTGTCTGAAGTTTATGTCTTTATTTCTGTATAGTATATCGTGTTTAAGCGCAGCGGCGTCAACTCTATTGACTGGTTCTTCCCCTGGTTTGGGTTTATCGTTTTCGTCTAATCGCAGATCTAACCTAGTACCTGGACCTGTATAATTATGACCAGGAAGATGTTTTTCTCCGGATATTTCGCCCATGGAAATCCAGGAAGAGAACCCAATGATTTTTGTATATCACCTGAACCGAAATAAGTTTTTGGAGCGTGAGCGACAATCATTTTTATCCTATAACTTTAAAACCTTTTCCTTTCCTTTCTTCTAATCTCCTGTTTCGAAGTTCTCTTATTAGTTCTAATTCTTTCAACTCGTTAGATTTTTTCACTGTATCGCTTATACTCTTTCCCGCTTCAGCGATTGAGCCGATGGCTTTCGCTCCGGTTGAAATGAGTGATTTGTTTTTTTAAACAAAGCTAGCTACTTTTGGAATTATTGTTTTACCTAGAGAAAATAATGAAGAAAAGATACCGTCGCCCGAATAATCTTCGAATCTGTGTTGTTCGTGTTTTAGAATTAAACTCATCCTATTTTTAAATGAATTAATTTAGTTTTTTTTTTTTTCCAAAACAAGAGTTATCTCCCTTTTCTAGACTAAAAATAACATTACTTAAAACGAGGCTATTAAAAACCGAAACAAGGATGTTATTTTATATAAGGGTATTTTGAATATGCCTTTTTGATGGAATGTAGGAAATTGATTGAAGGTGTTTTTTGGTGTAAGAATTTTATGAAATGTAGGGAATTTAGGTCTTTTTTAAGTGTAAGAATTTATGAAATGTAGGATGTTTTGCTGTAAGAATTTATGAAATGTAGGGAATTTAGGTCTATTTTTTTGGGAGTTCATAGATTGGTTGCATTTTTCCCATGAAATGAAATGGAATGTGGAAAAATGCGACCAATCTATGAGCTCATATACTACTTGTCTATAGGTACCCATCCTACAGTAGAAGATGGTATAGTTGATGAATGCGATTAATTAAGTATGGTTTATCATTATTGTCTATAGGTAGCCATCCTATAGTAGAAGATGGTATAGTTGATAGAATGGGATTAATTAAGTATGTTTTATCATGTTATCTATAGGTACCCATCCTACAGTAGAAGATGGTATAGTTGATAGAATGGGATGTCTAGGTATGTTTAATCATGTCTGTAGCTACCCATCCTACAGTAGAAGATGGTATAGTTGATAGAATGGGATTAATTAAGTATGTTTTATCATGTTGTCTTTAGGTACCCATCCTACAGTAGAAGATGGTATAGTTGATAGAATGGGATGTTTTAGTATGTTTTATCATGTTGTCTATAGGTACCCATCCTACAGTAGAAGATGGTATATAGTTGATAGAATGGGATGTTTTAGTATGTTTTATCATGTTGTCTATAGGTACCCATCCTAAAGTAGAAGATGGTATAGTTGATAGAATGGGATTAATTAAGTATGTTTTATCATGTTGTCTATAGGTACCCATCCTACAGTAGAAGATGGTATAGTTGATAGAATAGGATGTGTAAGTATGTTTTCATCCAGATGTAAATTCGAGTATCTGATAAAGATTAAGAACTGTTCTGACTATATGATTTATAATCTAAAGAGAACTCTTAGTAGTGATGAACGATTCTTCGAATCTGTGTTGTTCGTGTTTTAGAATTAAACTCATCCTATTTTTAAATGAGTTAATTTAGTCTGTTTTTATCCAAAAAGAGTTATCTCCCTTCTACTAAAAATTTTATGTTATTTTATATAAGGGTATTTTTAATATGCTTTTTTTGATAGAATGTAGGAAATTGATTGAAGGTGTTTTTAGTGTATGAAATGTAGGGAATTTATGAAATGTAGGGAATTAAGGTCTTTTTTAGTGTAAGAATTTATGAAATGTAGGATGTTTAGGTCTTTATGGGAGCTTTCATTTTGGTCGCATTTTCCCCATGAAATGAAATGGAATGGGGATTCCCCTTATGCGACCAAATTGAAAGCTCTAGTACTACTTCAGCGTGATAAAAGTTTATAAACTGCTACCAATGTTTCGCCAATATGTTCTTTTGGGTTTCGTTTTGCGGTTTGGCTCGTTAGTACTTGGTTTGCATTACTGCGTTAGTGAAAAACATTGAATTCCTTAAAATTATTCCCGAGTGTCCTTTATGTAACACTTTTTATACGCCCACATGGATATCGTCGCCCCTGTTCGACGGTCTGTCAACATTACTTAAGAAAAACACATTAGAGACTACAGTTTATATCTGAATTAGATGAAATTTGGTGTGATAATTTATATTGGTTAGATCTTTTACTGATTCGAATTTGACGAATTTTCAATGAAGGTTTTTTTTAATTCAAATGAGTTAAAATTTGTTTGAACACAATAAAACATGGTTTCTAAAGTAAATTAGCTGAAGTGCTACTTTCATTGTTTTGAATTGCTAAAGCGGCACAGCCCTTGCGCAGCCCCTGCTTTATTAATTTGATGTATTTGTGTTATTGATGTCCATTTTTTTTTACAAAGGTTGTAAAAAAACTCAGAAAAAATAAGTGACAGTTACAGGCTAGGCAACTAGGGTTGTCATCAATTCTTGGTAAAATGAAACACTTTTAATCCATTTTATATATATATATATATGAATAAATTCAAACTACAAAAGCATTATGAAGATCTTTAAAGTGATAAAATTCATATTTTAGTCACTAAAGACCCAATTATCATGTCTGACTGCTGCCAGTAAGCGTATGTTACCTTGCCTGGCAAGCTATCAGCTATCATAGTATATGGTAGAAAATAATAAGTGGTGTAAACTTTAAACGAAATCAACAGCTAAATAGAGACAAAGCATTATATTTGAAACTGTTTCATAAAAACGGTAAACTTGACGCAATCAAGATTACCTTTCATTTTTAATAATCATAAAAATATATTGAAATAATGTAAAAAGTAATTAAACTGAATTTTTAATTATGTAAGGTAAACCCCTACATATATTGGGCGTTCCTGCTTTCTTTTTGTACTTTCAAAAAAAGTATGAGTTTGTGTCGAGTAATGTGCATAAACGGTAATAGTTACAGCAACATAAGCAATGCATTGGATCTGCATACTCGGTGTAAGGAAAATGTAGATAATTGACTCTAGAAGGCGTCATTTTTAGAGCGATTTTTCTCGGGTTTTCAGTTTTAGAATTTCGCACGAATATCCTTTGTGTTTTAGGTTCGAATTTTGAAAATTCATAGCACACATTTTTTTAGCCGAATTTCGCAAAATTTGACCAAATTTTTTATTTTCTAGGCTATGCGTCCGATTGATTTCAAATTTCTGGTGCCAAAGCAGATCACAACTGAAAACAAATTGACACAATAAAAAAAGGTTTGCATGACTTCCGGTTGACCCACTTCCGTTTTTTTTATTTATGAAGGTCACTGAAATTTATACTGCCATTTTTGACTGCACCATCTATGGTTACGGAAAACGTGAAACATCTTCTGAACTGTGTTCCATCTTGTTTTAATGAGCGCTTAGACCAAATGAACAGTTATATTTGGGTGTGGGGTGGGGTATCCGCGGACATTTTTTAGAATAAGAAGTCTTAATCGACATTTCCAGCAAAAACAATACAAAAATATTGCATCAGTAGCATATTCTAATTAAATAAAATGATTCCTTTGAATGTCATTAAATTGAATTTTTTAATGATGTAAGACAAGCTTACCAGTATGGA